TGAGAGGGCTTTCTCTTTCTTCTCAGTCAATTATAAACAAGTACAGCTTTTCCAAGGGTAATATTGCAAAAAGAAATAAGAAATAAGAATGCTTACCAGCCGTCCAATGCTTATCTGGCTAAAGTAAGCTAATTAATCCATCAGATGTTGAGAACTGGCAGGGGCTAAGAAAACCCCCTGTATTGCCCAATTGAGAAATGCCTGAGTCTCTTCCAGTAGATATAGGATTGCCATCCTACATCAACCAGAAGAAAAGATGCCAGGCAATCTTTCTGCGCCCCGTTAGGGCTTAGATGAGTCTCCCACGGCTTGCTACCGAGCAATACCGGAGTGATAACAGAAGCTCCATTAATTACGTCCGTGTCATTCCAACGCCATCTTGAAAGTCTGGCAGAGCATTTCTGCGCGTGGCGTATTCCTGCTGGGGACCCAGAGGGATTTTGTTGATGGATGTCTCTTTCTGCAGGTCTAGCTCTCTCTCTGCCAGAGGAAGGTGCTTCTCTGGCCAGCAGATCTCAGCCATAGAATTGCTCCCTTAAAGCATGAATAGCTTTCTCTAGATCTGGACCATTCTCTCTCCATCTCTCTTTCTCACACACACACACCACAGCCCAACAAAAGCTAATTAATTGGATAGGACCTGTTGTTGGAAAACCAAGGCAGAATATTTTTAAATAAAGAAACTAAGATAAAGATCACAGGAGTGACATGCACTGAAGGAAGCTAAATGCAAATATTTTGCTGCTGTTAATTTGGACTGCATTTACCGTGGCGGAGTATAATTATTCTCCACGTTGCTTGTGTGGTTGAACAAAAGGGAAGCAGGGCTTCATTGCCAAGCAAGCTCCGGGGAGTTTATGATGAAAAATAAATGAATAGATCAACATTTTCTCTGTGTTCTCTTATGGGGCAAGCACATGGCTTTATGCTGCTGCATTTCAGGATGTAGGAGAACTTTCTCTATGATGCGCAGGTTTCCTGTTCACAGTGCCCCGTGTGCAGGAGTGCTTCTTCTCCCTCTAGAAATGGATGTGGGACCATGTTCAAAATGGGCACTTTAAAAACATGCACACTTTCAAATGTGTATTTAAAAGAGGTATATATATTTATATTTTAGGTGATGGAGGTGAAGGGAAATACACACAGAAACATGCACCTTCCCTATTTAAAGGAGCTGAAAAGAGAGCAGGAGCAAGTGGATATAAGCCTCACAGCGCACTGAGCCATGCTTGAAAATCACTGGTTCTTCTACCCCTGGCTCTGCTGTCTCAAGCGCAGCGCGGCTTTGACCAACTCCACTCTATCGCTACTGGCCAATACCGCACTAGGCTTAGTTTAGTGTTTTAAATTTTTTATCTGTTTTCCAAACATAACAATAAATGGATGGGGCAATACTATACTCCCTAGACAGCAACTGAGGAGACATAGAATAGTTCAGATCCCCCTGTCTGGACTGGGAAGCAACTCTCTGGCCCCTGATATGGAAACTGGAGCTTTAGTTCTCTTCTCTCTTCCCTTGCAGCCAGTACAGAAAGAATCCCGCTGACTGGTCTCCCTGGTCAGGAGCCTGGCCTCAGAGAAGGGGTTGTGCTGGTGGGTAGGAAAGAAGGAGAGGTTCAGGTGTGAGTGAAGGTGTCTCCATCCTTCTTCCTCATCCCTTCAGTGCATCCAAGCTAGACTGGCAAAGGTCCATCTAGCAAAAAAGGCTACCATGCCACAATCACTGCCCTGTTCCTGCCACTTGCAGGGTGCTCATCCGCCCCATCTGAGTATGGGGACTTCTGGTCATTGAGGGTGGGGCCCAGAGGACTGCATACTGAATAACAGTGTGTGATACCCATACGGACATCCGTACACATTCATCCTGATCAGCGCTATATATAATTGTGCCGCTTGTCTATTTCCTATTACATACTCTGTTGACCCAAGGAATCTCTCCATAAGGGGATGTGTGACTGTGGTGGTTCCTTTACCTGTTTGTGCTGTATCATCAGGTTTATAAAACCCACCAAGTTGTGTTGAAGTTGCTCTTTTCTTGCTTATTTCTGAATGCCTTAGTGGGTTGGTTAACTTTTCCTTTAGAGCTATCAGCCATCCTCTGTGTTTCCATTTTCTTTAGTGGGACTGAGAATGCTTTTTTTCCACCTTTGCAGCTACTGAAAGAATATCAGTATATGTTGCTTTTTAATTGTTTATGTTCATTGTCGTATAATGAGAGTAGACCCACCCTTTTGAGTTGTGAATAGTAATGTGTACTCACAGGTTTGTAGCTATTGTGACTGGAGATAAGGACTGTTCTGTGACAGCTCATGAGCAGAGAAACAGCCTGGTGCCTCATTTACTGAATTATAGATGCCAGGTAAATGCTGGAGGCCTGCACAGACTTCCTTAGGAATAAGCCTCTTTGAATACGGCGAGGCATTTCTGAGTAACTGTGCTCAAGATTTAAAACCGTTTAGATTGTCTAAGCTTCTAATGATCCATGAGTCAGCTAGTGTTGCTAATACCATCTTAAAATATATTATTATGTTTTAAAATACCTTTATGATGTTTTATAACTTTTATTTCTGCATTATGATTTGAAACCATCTTGTGAATTCCTCACTTTGGGAGGCAGGCTAGAAATACTTCATGTAAAGTAAAATAAATGAAGTCCACAAAAACAGTTGGTAGAGCCGCAGCTGTTTTATAAAGAAGTAGAAGCAGAATCACTGGGCAATGCTGTGCATGTTTATTCAGAAGACAGTGTCAGTGAGTGTGTGTGTGTGTGTGCAGGGATACAGCCTAAGCAAAAATGGAAAAATACAGAGAAGTATTTTTACTAACCCAGCATACAAAGTGTGGGACTATATAACTCAGGCAGCAATCCTTGGTGTGAAAGTAACAGTCCTGTTTTCAGTTCCATTTGTGCAAATGCTATTAGTACTTAAACATGCAGAAATTGCAGTCCTTTTTAGAGAAGGACAGCTGTAAGCTGGCTGGGTTTGTACCATAGCAAGTTGGTACCAGTGCAGGGGTAACAAACTGGAATGCAGGGGAGTAATCATGAACGTTTGTCAGATTTTCACCTTCCTATCAGACTCCATCCATAGCCCTCCTCTCTATATATCCTCCACATCTCAGTGGAGTCCGGACAAGCTAAGGATACAACAGTGGAACCAGCTGCCCAGAGAGGTGGTGGGCTCTCCCACACTAGAGACATTCAAAAAGAAACTGGCCAGACATCTGAGTGGGATGGTGTAACTTGATGTCCTGCAGCTGGAAGGGGATGGACCCAAAGGCCTTCATGGCCCCTTATAACTCTAGTATTCTATGATTCTATGATATCACTGTAACTCCTGTGCAGGGTTGTATTGGCAGGAGACAATGGCTCTTTTTAGGTTTGGAATACACTGAAGTGGATGAAAGCAAAAGATGCATTAGCAAATTAACAGAATGAAAGAAAGCAGGCCTTGCAGTGGAATGATTGCAGGAAACAATTACAGAACAAGGTCAGAAGATGACGCTCCTTCAGTCATCACCAACCCCTTAGCAAGAAATGGATTCTAATAGACTGTGTTGAGGTTCAAAATTGGGAGGGTGTCTGCACTGACTTAGACGACATTTATACATTCATACAAACTAAGCAAGCTAGCCCTAACAGTTGGCAAGTAGCCAGCCCCACAGCTACTCTGCAAACAACAGGTGGCCAACTTTTAGATCAGATCTTAAACAGATAATTGTGTTTCAGAACTAGAGTAGTTAGCAACTAATAGCAACAGACTCAGATGGAAGCCTAGACCTGGAAGGATCCATTGGTTCGCTATTACCACCTTGTCATGACAGTGGTCTCCTTCCTTTCCAGTGCAGGTAGGACAGCCAGTTGGCCCCAGTCTCTGAAAGAGCAGGAAGCCGGCGCATGCTGGGAGTCTTCTGGCATCTGCAAGAATGTGCAAAAAAGTAATAAGGGGGTGGGTAGTTGGGGAGAGGGTCAGTTCCGCTCTTCATCCAAAATGCTTTATCATCCATTCCTGCACATACCATCTCCTTGGGCACCTACTTGGCTGTAATGGATAGGAGAAGTGATTTCAAACCAAGAAGAGAAGCAGGGAAGCTAAGGAGGTGACAACTGCAACAAATGGGCAGAGGAAAGGGAAGAAGATAGGAGAGAAGGGTTAAACTTGGTAGTGGGCTTCCTTCACCCAACATAATTTCTAGATTTTATTAACCTGCAACTCAGTGAACTTTGCGGTTAATCATGTCCTATTGTTGGCTGATGAATGCAAACATATATGAGTGCAAACCGCTCCATGACTGCCAGTGAAAGCTCTGGCGGTGCTTGTAGCATTCATTTGCTGGGTCACAGCCGCTAATCTTTGGCATGGATATGCAGCACGTTGCAATAAAATGTCTAGCAGGCAGGAGGATGACTTCTTGCTATCAATATCTTTCATCCATGATTAATGATGTAAACAGGAGTAGTGGATGCTACGGACAGCTAATGTGAGCAGGATGTGACAAACTGCAGTCTTGCAGAGTCTTCTGGAAGTAAGATCTGAAAAGAGAGCGAGAGAGCTGCCATACTGAATTAGACAAGCACAATCACTAATCTGACATTGAAGTATAGGATGTCTATGGAGAAATGTCAGGGGAGCCAGGCATAAACTGATGATCCTTCCCGTAGTTCATTTTCAGCTGGTGGTAGACATAAGGTTAATTCCACCCTGGGTGTCTTGGCTCAGTGCAGCTAATGGATCACTCCTCTTAAACTGAAGCGTATCATTCATGGGTTGCGGGGGGAGGTCTCTAGGGCAATCACCAATTAGCTAGGAAGTCCAACCCAAAGGAGCAAAGGTCTAGTGAAGCAGGATGGAAGGTGAGGAAAACTTGTTCTGTATAGGAAGATTAATTCCTCCCAAAACCACAGTAGGAAGTTTGTATGCAAACGCTGGAACCTCAGCAAGTGACAATGAAGTCACTGGAGTGAGTAACGTTGTCTTGTATAAATCTATATTTTACAGGAGATTATGTCGTCATGGCAGTCTACTTCGATCTAAGCCGAAGGATGGGCTACTTCACAATTCAGACCTACATCCCCTGCACGCTCATTGTGGTGCTATCCTGGGTCTCCTTTTGGATTAATAAAGATGCGGTTCCAGCCAGAACATCCTTAGGTAGGTTATTGCTTCTTTCTCTTCTAATTGTTTGTGTTCCTAAAGTGCTCTTAAATGTGTCCTGGATTAAGGTCATTACCTGAGCACATGGATCCAAAACGACATAAATTTAGAAAATTGTTTAGAAAACTTTTCCTCATTAAATTCTGCAACATAATTGAGCCCCAGCTGCAAAACATTTGCATCCCACTGCATAACCAGAACACCTATTTAATCTGATTTGATATTTTATAGGCTGCCTTAATTGTTTCTAAGATAGCTCTAGACTACCATGGTGTTTCGGCATAATTAAAATTACATTCTTTTTCACTATGCCTAGATTTTCTCTCTCATGAATGGTGTCACTCCCTTTTTCTTTGCACACAGTAGCTGCATAACATGGAACGTGCAGGGAACATTTGACACTTGACTAGAGAAGTGACACAGTTGAAGCTGATGTACTAAGTCTCATCTTCCGCCGGAATGAAAATTCAGCTCAGTCGCTACTGTGTGTAAATGTTGCCATGTGCATTATAAACCTTGCTTGCCACTTACAGTGTTGTGACACTTTGTTCTTAGACATCTGAGCAGGCTGAAGTGGGATATTTACACGGACCAGTGGTCACACATAGATCTTAAGTGAAAGAGGGCTATTTGGAGGCTCAGTTAATCAATATTTTTGAATGCTTTGGAGAGGCAAGGAGAGAGAGGCAACACTGTCAGAGACCCAAGGGAATTATTATGATGCACTGTTTACCTTGTTCTAACGTGCTGAGACCTTCTCCTTATGTTGCTCACAGGAATTTCCCAGATATATATCAGGGTTTATGCAAAAGGACCGCTGCCAGCCTTAGTCTACTGCATTGTATTCCCATGCAGTGGCTCCCCAAAACTGGAGGAACATCCCACAGGATTCCCTGCTAGGCATGCTAATCTGGAATTCAATACTGAGCCTCCTCACTGGAAAGCATGAATGAGGGGATCATGGAATGATGCTGACTAGCCATGCCCAGTGCTGAGTACCCCCTTCCTTCTTCTGTAGTCTTTGGAGGAGGAACAAAACCAAGATGCCCACAAGGAGGTTAGAATTGGGAAGAACTTTGGTACAATTGGTCACTGAGGGGCCGTGGAGGACAGATATGTGCCCACATCACTAAATCACAAGGTGGCCAAGTGGCTCGCGCTCTCTCGCTCTCTCTCTCTCTCTCTCTCTCTCTCTCTCTCGCGCGCGCTCTCTCTCTCTCTCTCTCTCTCTCTCTCTCCCCCCCCCCACTCTCTTTTTTACTTTGAAAATGCCCTGTATACTTGTCTGCTCTTACACAGCCTTGCATTCTGGCAGCCATTTCTAGAACGCTCCTAGGACCATGTGGACATTCCAGAAGGGGTGGCTGAAATGCAGGCCTCTGTGAAAAGCACCCAGTGCCTCTGTGAATGCATGGGGAGTGGGCTAAAACATTTTAAAGAGAAATAGTTCATAGACCACTTCACTTATGTTTTACTCCCTCTACCCTAGAATCAAGCATTTTATTGACGATCTCTCCTTTTCCATGAATCAATCTCTCTCTCTCTCTCTCTCACACACACGTGCGTGCGCACATGCGCACACACACACATACAGAGTCTCTTTTGCAGAGAGTGCAAAAGTAGGAGGCAGGGTTTGCGTAGTACTCGTGTGCACTGGCTGTGTTTAGCAGCAGAACAACACCTAGGACACCACTGTGCGTTCATCAGAAACATGTTTTCTTTGTTTGGTGCAGTGCACCAGACACACCTCCTTCAAATCAGAAGACAAATGTGGCCTGAAACCATTAGGTCAGATGTATTTATTTTAAGAATTACGTTAATTCTATCAGACGTTGTCATTATGAAATTCTGCCGTGCAGTTCATCACTGCTATTCTATGGAAAAGTTGGTTTGGAGGTGTTAAAAGATGTTTGTGACAGATATTTTTTTCTTCTCGAAGTGGGTAATATAATTAAGAATGAACAGCTTTATGAGACATCACAGATATGCAGATGCAGATATGCTATTTACACCTTTGATATCTGAATTTTCACCCCAAAGAAATGGAAATACAGTTGCAATCCTATATTCAAGCAATATTCCTCTTGAACATGGTGACTTTTTGGTCCACGTTACCCACCAGTACATTTTTCTTAATTTTTCTAAGTTGGGGGGGGTCACTCAAGTGGCACCCCATGAGGTCAAAACACTCCCAGTATAAGAAAATATGTCTCAAGTGCACCAATGCACTTTCTGCTGATGTTGGATCTCTACCTTTTTATTTATCCTCCTAACAGATCAATTATATTTCCATGCACACATACATGCGCTCAAACTTTCAGTAACATTTCACATACATACTACACATGTATCTGATTTGTTCCTAAATAGCTAGCCTCATTCCTAGAAGCCCAAGGCAGCAGGCTATGACCTGCAAAATCTCACTTCAGAACCCAGAAAGAATTATGGGTTACACTCCTCTAGCACTCTCCTGTATTGCCTTTTAGACCTGGGAGATCAGTCTACTTGGTAATCACTTGCACACTCACATGAAAGCAAAGCCCATCCTCATCAAATGGCCTTGGTTCTATTCTGTAGAACATGCTCAGATGACCTGACATCCTTCAGCATCAGTGGTTGCAAGACAAAATTATGCCCCCCTTCTTCTTGCCAAATCTGTATTATGTGTGTGCAGGGGCCAGGGAGGGAACGTCTGCTTCCACTCATTTGCCAGGGTACCACACAGGTCTGATGGGTACAGGTCAGTGGAGGCGCTTGTGCGACTCAGCCAACAGAGAGACAACACGGATGCTTACCGGAGGAGGTCGTTCCTCCCTTCCAGACAGTGCAGGACTAGCTGGTCACAGGATGGAGCCAATTAAGGATGTTTCTAGTTGGATAAAGGGAGGGCTTTTCCCCGAGACTCTGCACTGTTGAAAGGTGGTAAGATGTTTCATTTGACCAGTTGGACTAGCACTCTACAATTTAATTAGGTGACAACAGTTAGTCGGAGTCATAGGGGGAAAGAAGCTTGGAACACACTAAGCGAGCACCCTTAATGGGCTGATGGAAGCCACCCTCACTTTCACAACCTCCATAGTGAACTGGAGCAGGTAGAAGGTTTTGGGCCTGGTGGTCTCCATGATTCCAAGGTGCTCCCACACCCCCACTCCTGATGGTTCCAGAGCATCTTTGACACAATATTCATGTGTGTGAGTACGGAGAGCAAAGACGTGTTTCAAGGACTGAACTGGTGCTTTGTGTTGAGGCTTCTTCACCCGAGCAAGAGACATTAATTCCTTGCCCTCTTCTTAATAGCTGGAAAGTCCTAACCCACAGCGAGGAAGCAGAAAAGCTATCAGCTAATTATTCTATAATTCTGTATTCCATTGCTGATCAGTTAATGTATATAATATAATAGGAGCCTTAGTTGAATCCCTTTGCTACATCTTGTGTCTTATGTGAAGGCATGCAGAGAATGAGGGTTGTTGCCATAAGTAGTAATACATTTTCTGAACATTTGTGTCCCTTACTAGGTATTACAACTGTCCTGACAATGACCACTCTCAGTACGATTGCTCGCAAATCTCTCCCAAAGGTCTCTTATGTCACAGCAATGGATCTCTTTGTCTCAGTTTGCTTCATTTTTGTTTTTTCTGCACTGGTGGAGTATGGGACCCTGCATTATTTTGTCAGTAACAGAAAGCCAAGCAAGGATAAAGACAAAAAGAAGAAAAACCCTGTACGTATTTCATTACAATGCAGACTGATATGTTAATTATGCTTTCCAGAAGGGAACACTTGGTTGTTTTGTGTAAGGTTTGCTTAATGGCAAGGAAAGGAAGGGAAAGGAACTAATAATTGGATGACTCTATTTATGTGCTCACCAGCCCCAAACAGGCAGGTTTTACAGCTGGCTGCCTTTATGGAGGGGAAACAGCATATATTTTATGTGTGTAAAAAGCATGCAGAGTAATTCTGGTTGGTTGGAAGTGCTGCAACAAGTTGTGGCCATAGGTGATCACTCATTGGGTTATCTTGAGTCTTGGTGCTACTTGGAGTAGACTTACTGAAATAAATGGGACATAGGTTGGAGAAGCATTGTATCCAAAGCGTTATTCTGACAGCCCCAGTTTAGTTGTGCTCAGGTGTTTTGGGAGAAAGGAGCTAGGTCATGCCACCAATTATACTCTTCCCCACTCCCCAACACGCACACATGCTACAGATTCTGAGATGCATCCAGCTGATGAGTGGTTTTGTTTTTTAAGGAGGGCAAGTCTATCACCTGGTGTTTCCAGGGAATGGGTCCCCCTCTCTGTGTGGTTCCCCTGACATCCCATGCCCACCACTTCTATTAAAGCTGAAAGCAAGGAGGGGCAACCTAGGTGGTACCTCTTTTTGATGATCCCATAGATCTTTCCAGTCCCAGAAGTAAAGGGTATAAGGCTGACATCCAAACTTTGAGGCTTGCAGTGGGAAGTCGGAGCAGTGCAAAGGCTAGGACTTTCTCTGCACTCCATTTACCCTTCAAAATACTTACACAGCTGATATTGGCTCTCCAAAAATTTTTCTCCTCCCTGCTCCCTGCTGTTGTAATCTCTCCCAGGCATGGTTGGGAGGCCATAGAGTTGTGCCCAAAACTGCTAAGGACTGAAAACGAATAACAGAGTATCAAAGTGAATGTCAAAATGTGAAATGTCTCTTTCTGAAATGTCCCTCTTCCTTCTTCCCTCCTGTCCCCTCTTTCCCACTTAATTGCCCTTCACCTTTCTTTTTTATTGATTCTCAATCTCCTGTCTTATTCTTTTCTACCATTTATTAACACAGTGCAATTGTCCCTCCTTGCATAAGTGTAATTTTGTTGCTGAGTTCATACGGGTTTTCCATCTGTATGGACCTTGCTCAGCTGCTGAGGAGCTCTTTGTAGTTTGAACAATTGCATAAAAACACCAACAAACATTGATCCTAATATATAAGACCTGCAACAAATAAATTATTGGCTCAGACTTTCCTATCTTTTAGGTTGTCAAGGAAAACAGTTTTTTTAAAACTTATGTGAGCATTTAAATACACTTTTTAACTGTTTTACTCTGACTTTTGCTCTTACAATCTATGAGAGAGCAGGAGAGAAAGAACCCAAGGCAGAGGAACTGCCAGGGCCCAAGCCCTTAAGATGTGTGTGTCTGTGGGTTGTGTGCATTGGTCTGATATTTTCTTCTTCTCCTGTTGCCCACCCCAACCATAATTTCTTCCACATTGTTCCCAGGGGATAGAAAATAGGTGCAGCAGATACAGAGTTGACATTCCATTTCCAGCGTGTATTTAAGCAGCAGGAGAAGTTTGGATCTGGTGAATCCAAGACCTCTCCTTGGCTGGCCCAAGACACCCTCCTTCTGCTATTGTGCAGCAGCAAGGACAGCAAAGACCTCCACCCCTGCAGGGGGGAAGCTTATGAAGGACGGCTTCCTTCTCCAACTATGGGCCTCCCTCTCTAAGATTGGATGGGGATCTGCTCTGTCCCTGGACCCTGAAATAGCTGGACTATATGAGTTCAGTTTTAAGGCACAATCCTGTGCAGTGTCAGGAAGAAAAAAGGCCTATAACTTATCCCATGCATGCTGGGAGTTGGAGGCCTCGTCTCCCAGCTTTCCTCTCCAAATTTGCATAGGATTTCAGCCTTAATTGTATGCCTTGTATCTGCAGTTTTTCCTATGGTAATTTATATCCTTTTAATTCATTTCAATTTTTGTAAATCACTTTGCAATCATTGATAAAAGGTAATATATAAATGTTTCAAATAAAAGGAGTTTCTATCATTTTTCTGCATCACATTTGTGAACTGGGAGAATGGAATGGTAGGAAGACATTATATAGGTAGGGGACGAAGAACTATTAGCCTCAAAGAGGAATCATGTTTCTTTAAGAGTCTTTCCCCTAGTAGAGAAGTTTTCATTTAAAAAAATCGTAATGTTTACTTTATATTATTCTCTGATTGCTAAAGATAATGTTGGAATATCTAGCCCACAGTGGCTCAGTCTGCATAAAGTGACAATTCAGAAGTTGTTGTGAACAAGTCAGCATGCTCAATACCATGATCCAAGAGGTCCTGTTTGACTTCTCCTAGCAGGAGAGGCTAAACAACCAGGGATATTTCCAACTGGTTTCCAACTCTGACTTTTCAGGAGAGAGACAAGCCAGAGTTCCATATAAGCAACTGCTCAGTGCTTAGCTGCTTCTGTTGCCAGGAGGATCCAAGTGAAGAGTTTAAACTATGGTGACCAGAATTCACAGAAGCTCAAAGTCTCTCTCTCTCTTTCTCTCTCTCTTTCTAAATTCTGGGATATTGTTGTGTGTGAACCAGGCCATTTATCTAATCCTGGAAATTGTGGAGAGGAATCCACATACCTCTTCTCTCTCAACCTAATTTACATCAGAATTCCAAGTTTTGTAACGCATTCTTTGCATATAAATCACTATTAAATTCAAGTTCTTATTTAAAACTCTATCTTACATCCTTTTTCTGTTTTTGTTTTTTTAAAAAACTTGATATAGTTTAGCAAAGTATCTTTAATTTATGCTACTTTTTGTCTCCTTCCTCCCCTCCTTTCTTCCTTTCTTTAATTTAAAAAACTTTGATTCTTTTTTTTTCTGTCTACAAAACCAAAGCTTCTTCGGATGTTTTCATTCAAGGTATAATTTTTTGGTATAGAAATCCACTGCATGTTACTGCTGAACTGAACAATTAGAGCTTCAATAAAGGCTTATTAGATAGTTACGCATTCTACTTGAAGCAGCCTTTCCATGAAGTAGAATGGTTAATGTTTAGAAATCAACATAAAGTTGATTCAGCAGCCCCAAAACCAATGCACTACTATTTTGAACTTAAGATGAGTTCAAAGGATTTTAGCATATTTGGATCGCATGTGAGAAGAGAGCCAAGTAGTGTATCCAAAATATTTGTGTGGCTCTCTTTATTCAGCAAACCATGGGATCCAGTTCGGTGTCACCAGCTACACTAAGAATCCACAAAAACCCTTTTAGAACTCAGTCCTGATTCTTAATTATTCTCATTGGAAATTACACAAACTACAAATATATCAAAGATTCGCACTAAACTGTTAGATATCATTGGAATGTTCCCAGTATTGTTCTTACACAAACTCTCAGAGTTTTGAAAGGGTGTAACATTTAATGCTCTCACTAGCTGTTCAGACACTTGTTATCCAAAGTGGCAAATACAGATAGCTGTATAAAGTATGCATCATTCTGAAATGAAGATATTTAGCTCTGTGTGAACATCTGTATATATGTCTAAAACAAAGATTAATTAAAACAACGATTTTAATTAATATTAAATGAATTTCTGTCTCCAGCCTTAATTTTACAACCCACTCTTTCTGATCATTCCTGTGTCAGCTGCTGCTTCGTGCAGCAGGTTCACCGGCGGATCGAAAGAGTTTCTCTGCAAAACATGGTTCAAGTGACTATTAAACATGTACAGCTGCTGTATCCTGTGTTGGCATCATGAAGCTTTGAGCTGGTGAATAATTGCTGTTCTAGAGCTGCATGTTGTCAGGAGTGTTTAGTAGCAAAGCCCATTATAGAGACCCACCTAACCTATGATCAAGTAATCCATCTGGTCACATCCTGTTCCCCTTAACCGTTGTAGTTGTCCACCCATGTGGAAACATAAATCATCATTCTCCCCTGCTTATAGTGATATGGGAACTATGATTGCCTTCCTGTACCTTATACCCAGCAGCTAACGGTGCAACTGCTAACAGGATAAACCAATCACAGCACTTTTTAGACTGCATTCCTATTTGGAATAAAACCCTGTTGAGCTGCTGCTGTCAAGTAAGATATGGATTTAAAGCACCCACTATTAGACTGTTGCTTTAAATAAGTTCAAAATCAAGAGTTCATCATTATAGCAGCTTAAGATCTTAGTGATTCCCTCATTCAGCCATTACAAAAAGCAACAGATTTCCACAGAGCTAGCACTAGTTGAAATGAAAGTTTTAAAGACCACAGACCATTTATTCTTTCCCGTCTCCCTTCTTGCTGCCCATTTACCCTAGGCACCTACAATTGATATCCGCCCAAGATCAGCTACTATTCAGATAAACAATACTACACACCTCCAAGAACGGGATGAAGAATACGGCTACGAATGTCTCGATGGCAAGGACTGTGCAAGCTTTTTCTGCTGCTTCGAGGATTGCCGGACGGGAGCATGGCGACATGGAAGAATACATATCCGCATTGCCAAAATGGACTCGTATGCCCGCATCTTCTTCCCAACTGCCTTCTGTTTGTTTAACCTGGTCTACTGGGTATCCTACCTTTACCTTTAAGCATGCAGAAAGAAAACTGGTGACATGAGCCTTATTCCCGGGATTTATTAAAAGTTATGGTACCTGCGTAAATACACTTCAATGCCATGATCTAGTGGTGCAGTGCAAGATGCTCATGGGGGGACCTTCCTGCATTTATGAGCCATCTGATTCTCTTCAAGCCAGGAAATGCTCTGAGCAGGTGCTGTTACGCACACAGAGCATTTCCTGACATGGGGGTGGGTTAGCCCTCGGTCATTTAAGCTCCTTTGAACATCCGATTTCATGCAACATTGAATAGTATGATACAATTTACAGTGGTCTGAACTCTTTAGTGCCATAATAACCTAGCAAGTATCAACGGTCATATCATTTGTCTAAGACTACAGTATTTGTCTAAGACTAAGACTATTGTGAACTGAATGCTATCATTCTACATTTTAAGGAATTAGGTACAAAAAAACCCCAATATCTCATGGCTACCAGTGAATCTGAGAGGCACAGTGGAGAGAAGACCTATGCCAACTCTGACAGTTTGGGTACTATAATTCAGCTATAAATGATTATAGTTACAGTTGCAAAGTTAAAGAGAAAAAAAAGAGACAATTCTGTATATTTTGTTAGCATTGATTATAGATATGTGATATCTTTGTCTTCTCTGGACTTTTCTTTTTGGAAGAGTCAACTCTCACTTCAGATCAATGTAACCAATTTAGGGGGGAAAGTAGCTTTCCTTTTGACCCGAATAAAAATAGAACATTTGGGTGCCCTCCCTAAGAGCACATGTACAAACACTGTAAATAGTTCACTACCTTGTAGTTCTTGGGTCTAGTGCATGAAGATTTCTTTTCTTTTTTCTTTTCTTTTTGGAAGGAGGCAAAATAAATGGAGCTAAGGTACTATATCCAGTACTGTCTTTTATTTTGTAACTCTGGCATTGCTATTGTAGCAGAAAAGGATGGATTAAAATCCACTCTATTTTTTGGGCAGAAATGCCTCCCTGCCCCTGCATGGAAGATTTGAACAGAGAGACAGTACTTTTGGTAAGAAGTTAGACAAGCCTTAAGATGTTGAACAAAACATCATCCATTCCATAGACAGAGCAAGTCGACAAAGCCAATATAAACAATGCCCTAGCCTATAGATTAGCTGTAGGCGTTAGCTGCTGCTTTAGTCCTCACTTTCCATATCAACTGCAGCTGCAGTTATGATCTATTGTAAGACTGGCTGTGGTCTTCTGGAGCATTTGTTTGCAGTGAACGGATCTTTCCCCACACCAAATGCTGATCATTCGCACCTAGAATACTTCTGCTGAGCTGCATGATCCATCTGGATGAACCTGAGCGGAATATAGCTCTTGCTCTATTTGCTTTTCACAAATGCAGCCCACATTTATGTTGCGGGAGGATGTTGGGGCATTTTCATTTGTGCCAATATACAGACCTGCATGTTAATGCTGCTTTCCCACCTCTCTTTGGGTCCCTGGATTATAATATAGTCTATCAATGGCAAGCACGCAATTTAGAGAGAAATGAACAAACTAAAAAGGAAGAGCGTTTTTGCAAATAAACCATGTCTGTGTACCATATGCATATTAAAACAGCAACAAGACCCACTTGGTTGGATCTTGAAATTCATTAAACTAGCTACTGGTTTTAAAACACCTGTGCAATGCTCAGTTATGCAACCTTAAGCACATGTAAATATGATTGACTTTTTTATGGTCACGAACTGGAGATGCCATTTCATTCAAAGTAGGTTTGCAACTGGGAATTAGGAATAATCTAGATATATATATATATATATTATCATTACAGAATTAATGATAGCCAAGCCAATACAGAGCTCTAAGGACCATTTTCCAATATCTGTATAGTTTTGGAAATAAATAAATATGTATAGAAAGGTATAACTAACTCCTGATCATCACTTGCTCCTTGTCTAATGTACTTTACTGAAGAAAATGCACATACCCATAGACTTTTTTCCAATAAAATCTCTGCACTCAAACTGATGGTAGTTTTTGTGCCTGACTTCATTAAAGTGTTTATGTGCGTGCGCATGTATGCACTGGTACATTTACATTCTAAGCACCGTCAAAGAACTTCACTTTTAAAGAGCTTATTTTGTGATGCTGATTTTGAGTTGCCTATTTAAAAAATGATAGTAATTAAAAGCAACTGCTTTTTAATCCATATTTTTAGATGTCATGCATGCAAAATTCCCCATTAAATTCACAGCAGAGCTCTTCATGTTTGCTCGTGTTTGTCCTGCAAATGTCATCACCTAATTGAGGTTTGTGGTGAAAACCGAGCAATGTATGAGAGCAGGCAGTGTTCATAAAATGGCAGAAAAACACAGCAAAGATCTAAGAGGAGGAAATGTACTGGGACCAGGGGTGTAGTTCCACAGTATCTCCTTTCCCCAACCCCATTTACTTATGGCCCGATGACTTGGTTCAGTTCCTCAGAATCAGTGACGATGGAGCACTACAGAGGAGTTCATTTAATACCATAGGCATGGCATACAGCATTCTCTGGCAATTTCCTCCTCTGTCTCAGCAAGTCTCTTGGGATGCCTACATTACGAGAGTGATTCAGGCTCATAGCAATGGGACTTGTCAGTGAGTCCTCAACAAGAGGACCGGCACTGCGAGGCAGCTTCCTCGAAAGGGCATTACCTAATCTTTTCCTGCAGTGAGCACAGGAAAGTATGCCATCTCGGTTTGTGTGGAACAGCAGCAGGCGTTGCCCACCAGGTCTTGCCGGTGCGGCAAAGGGAGACAGATGCCATGAAGCTCCACCACCGGGGCACAGCTCCCTGCGCAGGGGGAAAGAGCATCACTGACATGCTTGGAATCAGCCTGAGCACAGACCTGGGGAAGTTGCTCCACTGAAACGGCTTCACAATGCCGCCACACGTTTTTGGCTCTGGCAAACCACACTGTGGTTAATGGAAGGGGTTCTAGCCGCTTGCTCCAAACTACTTTGCGAAGGACCCTGAAACTCTTGCTTCCTCCCCTTTAACTGTATCAGCCGTGTGCAGTCATGGGCATGATCCAGCCCTTGCCTGATCTCCTTCATGGCACACCCACATTCAGCATTGATTCCCTCCTCTTGGCAGTTGTGAGAGCTCACATGCTGCAGGGCTTCAGTTCCCCTTACAATATCGATATTCAGTGCTTCCAGTTAGCCTACAGTTTCCATATTTTATATCATACACTGCATTTTACACTTGATTCTCTTTTATTCTGGTGTCACACATGCACATACAGATACACCACATTTATATCCCACCTTTTTTCCATTTGTGAGAGACCCAGCATGCCTTACACACTTCCATTTTATCCTTACAACAACAGTAACCCTGTGAGATAGGTTAGGCTGGGAATGAGTGGCCTAAAGTCACCCACTGAGCTTTGTGGGGTGGGGACTACGTAAATAATGGATTTCTCAGGTCCCCAGTCCAGTGCTTGAACCACTGTGCCACACTGGCTCTCGTGTGAGAATGGATGTATGCATGTATGTATGACATATAAATGACAGCTTCAAATACAGGCAAGTACATCCATGAAGGTACATGTTGGTACATTCTATGAGAATTTTAAAACCCATGGGATCCTTAGAATAGTTTAATCCCAGTGACTAGTTTGGTGATAAAGAAAGGGTTATATCCTAGAAGGCTATGATTAGCCACATACAGGTCTTCACCATTTTGTTGAATAGATATGACATGACAGCAATTCTCACATTATGAAAACAAATATGCCACCAGGAGATGTTCACTTTTCATTGTGGTGTTAACAAGTCATGCCACTTATGAAATTTCTAATTATAGCAGCAAAGTTTGGAACAGTCATAGGGATATGGAGATCATTCAGTTAGCAAGTAAGCAAGCAAGCCAGCCAGCCAGCAAGCCAGCCAGCAACCAAGCTCTATCAGGAAACACTGTCATTCTAGAATCATAACGGTCCACATGTTGTAGGGCATTCAAGATTGAAGAAGGGTAAATGAATGAAAGAGAAGCATTGTTAAAAGTGGGAGAAGAGCAATTCTAAACATAGGGTGTGATGTGGCAGGACCCAGACCCTTTGTAAACATCCAACACTTTGGGTTGGATACAAATTTAAGCAAGATCCGCTATTCTGCAATGGACTTCTCATCTTCTCATGGAAGCCCATTTGGCCTCCTGAAAATGCTATAAAGAGAGTCAGGGGATACTGCTGAATGGTGTTGGGGATAGGGTGATCCCCAGACACTAGGCAGAGGGACCTTCATGAAACGGGGACTTCTTGAGGAAGTCAGATCCTAGATACAACACTACCTTCCAGAGCTTCTGCAACTAGCCCAACACAAAGCAAAGTTCAGAAGTGATTGTGCCTTTACTCTGAGATCCTTTAACTGGAATTTCCAATGCTTAAACTTGGAACTTTGCAGATACTTTCTTGCTGAACGGCATGGTTTATTTGAGTCATACCAATTTCCCTATAGTCATTCTTCCCTTAGCATTCAGCTGCTTTTGGAAAGATTTTCCAGCACACCTATATTGCTGTCCTTTACTATATTAGACAGCACTGACTGAGGAAGTGACCATGGGTCAAGAGCAATGTGGTTTCCTGGTCTTATGCAGCATCTAACTCCACCCATAGTGTAACTTATGGAAATTATAGCTGAAGGTGCAATTACATGCATGTCTAGACAGAAAAAAAGCCGTACAATTCTCAGAAATACCCAACCAGCAATGTTGGCTGGAGAACATTGGGAAATGTAGTACTTTCCTGTGTAAACATGACTAGGATTGCTCTCGGGATCACCTAGCCATTCACACCCTTATTCTTGTGCTAAATTACATAGAAAATGCAATCAATAAGGTCTTACAGCTTTCATGGCCATTTCTTCCCTGCAATTGAACATGTCTAGATTTTGAAGCTAAAAGATGATACAGTTTCTGTTAGATCTGACAGTACGAATTGACCTGTCTGCAGTCTACCTTCCATCCAGACCTAACCTAATTTTCTGCCG